ACACCGCCCCCATCATCCCCCCGCCTAGTTCTCCTCGGAGATAACCACCCCCGTCATCGTCGCGTACGCAAAAATCTAAGGACCCGGCCGTGCCGACCAGGCAAAGGCCCCAATCTCAACAAGCCCCCGCTCCGGGAGACCGACTGAGGGATAGGCGTGCTCGGGACGCCGAATAATCTGAGGAGCGCCGTGTGAAACGACGGCATGATACCCCGGGCCCGTCTGTCTTGGGCGAGTGGGTTACTCGGGCCGAGACTAGGAACGGTCACCCTATTCTGGAAGCTGACTCTATCCTCCAATCCCCCAAAGTGGTGTTTGCCGTCGCGGGGACACTTCAATTTAATGCTGATATGACCGTGTACAAAGGTTACTTGGACAATCGGCTTCTAATAAGCACTATCCNGGGACACTTCAATTTAATGCCGATATGACCGTGTACAAAGGTTACTTGGACAATCGGCTTCTAATGAGCACTATCCAAAACAACCTGGTGGTAAGTTTAACATTTTCCCGAGTATCCCCCACACCCTTTTGGTTGTTCCCTAATATTCCTCCTTTTTCAGGCCAGCCAGCAGGTGGGGGCCATAATTTAATGTTTTCAGGAATATAAACAAGAGGCGAAGAACGTCGAGCAAGTCGTAACTGCTAAAGATGACCATATCCTTAAGGTCAAGAGGACCCTCGAAGACCAAACCAAGCACATCACTGAGCTCATCCGCCACCGAGACGTCATTCATGCCGAGCTGGAAAAGACCAAGACGGGTGAAGCTGCGATGATAAAGAAGGCCGAGGAGTACGAGCTGCGAGTGTCCTCCTCCGAAGCCAAGCTGCAAGAGTTTGAGTCTGTAATCAACGCTCTTACTACCAAAGTGAACTCCTTGACAGCAGAGAAAGCGAGGGAGCAGAAAAAGCTGCAATCAAAATGTCAGAGGGTGTGGGCAGCCACTCAAGACCAAATGGTCCCTACTTTCGAGAAAGCCAAGAAGGCTTTCAAAGAAGGTTGGGACACCGCCCTTCACGCCTACCACGTCAAGGTAGGCTCAGACTTGTTCGCCACGCACAGCCTTCGAAGGGAGGCCGATGACGAAGCCCTGGACGAATAGGTCCGATCCGACCTAGGTGACCACATGGAGGCAAAAGGGTCGGTCGGGGCTGAAGGTGGAAACGAACCCATTACACTCAACGACGGTTCTGACTAACCTTCTCCTGCCCTTCGGTCTTTGCCACCTGTCGAGCCAACAAATGATCTGCCCCTTCCTCCGCCCCCTGTCGTTACTAGGGTGCATGATATCGAGCTAGATAAGATATTGAGGGTCAAAGACAAGCTACAAAGCCAGCGTGGAGGCCTCGACGGGGGAGGAGCCGGGGAGGAATGAGCCGAGGGCCTTAGCAGTTGGTGGCCTTAGTCATTTCTATATTCCGTATTTGTTTCGTAGCCCTTTGTAGCTCTTATTTGTACAGATTTTAGTTACTATTTGTATGCTTGGGGACGCAAAGCCCCTTTTTGATTTGCAATGAACTTCATTTTTCTACAAGTGTCTTTTCTTTCTTGCATCAATCGTGTTTCAAGGAAATGGTCTTGACGTTACGTCAATAAGGACCCTCTGAAGTAGCAAGGCTTCACATTGAATTCATAAAAGTAAACGCGTCGAACTTGCTGTTGGATCTTTGGACCCCTCGGGATCGAGTATATATGGGAGTGGACTCTTACACCCCTCGGGGCCGTATCCCTAACGACCAAGAGCCTGGCTCGTGTTAGTAATTTGAAGGCGTTGTTCTAAGGGTGGAGTCTTACACCCCTCGGAGCCGTACCTCTAACGGCCGAGCACGTAGCTCTTGTTAATAATTTGAAGGTATTGCTCCAAGGGTGGAGTCTTACACCCCTCAGGGCCATATCCCCAACGACCGAGCGTCTGACTCATGTTAATATTTTGAAGACGTTGCTCCAAGGGTGGAGTCTTACACCCCTCGGGGTCATACCCCTAACGACCGAGCGCCTGGCTCGTGTTAATATTTTAAAGGCGTTGCTCCAAAGGTGGAGTCTTACATCCCTCAGGGTCGTACCCCTAACGACCGAGCGCCTGGCTCGTGCTAATAATTTGAAGGTGTTGCTCCAAGGGTGGAGTTTTACACCCCTCAGGGCCGTACCCCTAACGA